GCTCTTTCCACAGTTTGGCTATTGTGGACATTGCTGCTATAAACATCGGGGTGCACGTACCCCTTCGAATCCCTACTTTTGTATCTTTGGGGTAAATACCCAGTAGTTCGGTTGCTGTTTTTTAAACAGCTTTCCTGAGATATAATCCACACACCATACAATTCACCCATTGGAAGCACTCAATTCAGTGGCTTTTCCTATATTCCCAGAGCTGGGCAGCCATGACCAATCAGTTCTAGAACCCTTCCCCCACCCCACACTTTTGGCCATCACCACCTCACTGTACTACAACCACCCCCACCAGCAGACCTACTAATCTACTTTCTGTCACTATAGGTTTCACTACTCTGGACTTCCATATGAATGGAATCAGAGTATGTGATCTTCTATTCTATAGCTGGCTGCTTCCACTTCGCCAATCGTCAAGGTTTACCCATGTCAGCATGGATCAGTACAAAGCCAATCTGCAAAGACTGGAATATTTGGGGGGTTTTTTTCCCTTTGTTTTCTTAATGGATTTTTTTTCTTTTTGTGTCCTGGTATCCAAAAAAACCCCTAAGAAAACAAAAAACAAAACTGTCAAAACACTAGCTGAACACAAGCTAAGAAAACACATCAGAGACCACATAGGAGTAAGAATACAGACTTTAGAACAAGGCTGTAAGGAAAAAATCACTAGAGAAATAGCTACATCTCACAGAAAGGAACAAAACTAAAATGATGAGGAGAGGGGAAGAATCATCATATTTTATTTCCAGAATTAATAATTTAATTCCAAAATTATATTTATTTATTTAAGACAGAGAGCACGTGAGAGTGGGGGGAGGGGGGGACGGGCAGAGGGAGAGAGAATCTCAAGGAGACTCCCCACTGGCACAGAGCCCAATGAGGGGCTCGATCTCACGACCCTGAAATCACGGCCTGAGCTGAAACCAAGAGTCGGAAGCTTAACTGACTAAGCCACCCAGGCACCTCCCAGAATCACCACATTTTAATATCCAAAATGTCCAGTTTCTTACCACATAAAAATACAAAGCACGCAAAGAAACTGGAAAGTATGACCCACTCACTGGAAACATGAAGAGAAACTAGAAACTACCTGAGGAAGCACAGACATTGCACTTACAAGACAAAGTCAGATGGATTGGAAAAATTCCTAAAAGCACACAAATTACCAAAACTGACTCAGAAGAATTAGAAAATCTGGATAGACTCATAACAAGCAAAGAAACGGGAGTTTGTCATAGAAGCCTCCCAACAAAAATAAGTGTTATAGGAACTGGTAAATTATTTCTTTACCAGACACTTTGAAAACGTTAATGGTCTTCCAAAGGGAAAAAAGTGAATACCACTGTTTCAGTCTTATATACAAGTGGAAAATGAAAATTATATCCTGAAGAATCAAGTTCTTGAATTTTTTTTATTCTTATGTTAATCCCCATACATTACATCTGAAGAATCAAGTTCTTTGAAACCAGAGAGAATATGAATGAATGAATGTGTATTACCCAATTTGTTGAACAAAGATCAAAAGAGGACACAAACATCAACAATTTCCTGATGTTGATGAGACAGAACTTGATTAGATTTTCATGCCTAATGGGCTGTATCTATTTTAAGAGGAGATTATGTTAGGGTTTGAGAAATGCCCAAGATAAATGAATTGACGTATTTCAGAAAGTACTGCTATGAAACGAGTTCCTACTTCTACTACCAATTAAGACTAAGTTATCTTACAAACTAATACAGATGGGCTTCTATCACAGAAGGAGAAGAGGTACAAGAGGAAATGCTGCTCAAAGATAGGGAAGCTGGTGTGACCTCATGTTGGAGGACAGCAGAGGGGAAGCATGCGAGGCTAGTGTGTGAAGGAATCCTTTGAAAATGAAAAGATCATCAATTACTCAATTGGAGAAGAGGAACAAAGAAAAAAAATTGAGAAAATGAGTTTCTGTTTTACAAATGTCTCAACTGCTTAAAAGGAAAAAAAAAAAAAAAAAGCACGTCTATAAGCATTACAATTAGTGAACTAACCTAACATGATGTGCTTTGCGATGTGATGCAATATGAATTGCCCATCGCCTACGAAGTATCCATCCTGAAAAAATATACAGCCTGAAACTCCTCATGAGGGAACGATAATCAGATAAATCCGGAATGTGGGACATGCCTGGGAAATCTGTGTCTGAACAATGTATCAGGTGATGCCATGAAATTCTTGTTCATCACTTTAGGTTTCTGTTTTAGGTGTGGTCACGGTATTGTGGTTATACAGAAGATTACTCTTTTCCATGGGAGATACACGCAGAAGCAGAAGCATTTGGGATGAAATTCATGATATCTGCAACTTACTTTCAAATGGCCCAGAACACACACAGACACATCTGTATACAAACACACACACCTAGATGAGGAGGTGCGGAGGCCCCAAAATGTTAACATTAACCACTGGTTTATGGAAAAACTTGTGTTTCGACTCTACATTTTATACATCTTCATGTTAAATAATGTAAAAAGAAATCGTAATTCCTATAGACTAAAGACAAATAATAAATCTTAAATAAAAAGACAAGAAACATTTCTGAGACCTATGGTCAAGGTGCATCAAAGAAGAGTCAAGTAACCACAAGGCTTGTAATAAAAAGAATGCCAATCACTCTTGTCCATCTATACGGCCTTGAAAGACTAGAACGGAAAGAAGCATTTCATTTAGTCCAATAAAGATCAGAGGCAGAGAGAGAGTTTATCATCAGCCTGCTGACTCCAAGGCTGAAGAAGCTTAGCAGGGAAAGAAAAGCCCTGCCCCTCCTGGGCCTGTTAACCTTATTTCTACACAAAAACTGAAAGTCTACTTCTCTCTTAAAGTTACCTGAATTCAAACATTCAGCTCTAGCTGGGCTGCAGTTACATTTTTAAAACCTGCATAAATCAGGGGCACCTGGGTGGCTCAGTCAGGTAAGGGTCTGCCTTTGGCTTGGGTCATGATCTCAGGGTCCTGGGATGGGGCCCCACGTCAGGCTCCCTGCTCTGTGCGGAGTCTGCTTCTCCCTCTGCCCCTCCCCCTGCTCGTGTGTGCTCATGCTCTCTCTCTCTCTGTGTCTCAAGTAAATAAATAAAATCTTAAAAAAAAAAAAAAAAAAAAACCCTGCATAAATCAAACATAATTCTTAGTGTCACACAGCAAAAACCCTTAGTCAACCTCAGTACTGTGACAAGTCCTACAAGTGTAATAACAGCTTCTAGTTAATTCTCAGGGCATCATTACTAAATGTGTAAATTGTATGACTTCCCAAATGCTCTGTGTTTAATATGTTTTATTTCTTGCTTTTGAAATTGTTGTTCCATTTACCCCCTAATATCATAATGAATGCAAGACCTTCCAAATTTTCCCAATAATCTGCCTCACCAGTCAACATCCACAAAGCCCAAGCTTTAAATGGAAGTCTCTTTTTGTACGCACACGCGTGCGTGCACGCACACACAAGTCCATAAACGCTGCAGGCGAAGCTGCTGACGGAAACGTCTCATAGTCTGCACAGCCTGTGTGTCACCACTTAAGAGCAGCGTGCTGGTCCCCAAAGAACCACGGACACATTGAAGAAGATACCAACACCTAAGGGAAGTGCTTAAAATACAGACACTGAATTTCCAATCAGATACAGATCAAAATCCAGCCTGTAGGCACAGCGTATGTGCTGGGGTAAGAGGAGCGTGACACGTGTCAAAGGTTAGCGTAAGTCTGTCTCCCTGAGGGGAAACAGGTTCTAGGCTGGCAAATGCCCAAGACCTCCACCCCTGAACCCGTCAGTGTGCTTCATCCACCTCTAAGGAAGGGACAACAATATTCAGAACACAGCCTCAGATTCTGAGTCGTACTGAGTTCTGTTAGGAACTCTGGGAACTCCAGTCTCCCATTCTTCTCCAACTGGAAGAGAAGCACCACTGAGTGGCTTAAGCCACATTTTCCATGTGTTAATGGATGATGTGGACACATGATCTATAGTATCCCTGATCCTACAATGTTATCTACGACAGCCATGAGAGCATATGGGGTGCTGGAAACATGGAGGCCTTCTAAGAACTAATCAACCATCTAGTGGATGAGTGAAACAGAGTAAGACAATGAAACAGGAGTTCACTGGGATAGTATCATAGTTTCGTGGAGAAGCTAGAACCTCAGTGTGGTTTTTAGGGTAGAGGAAAATATTCTAATATGGTGAAACTGCATGACCAATGGCAGACCCCTTAGAAGGAGAACACCCAAGGGCACAGGCTCTCTGGGCAAAGATTACCAAGCAGGAAGGTCTGGCCTTTGCACTTACTGCCATGTATGGCCGACACCCGGCATCTCTTGTCTTGGCAATGGAGTCCACCAGCTGTCCACTGATGCCAAAGTCACAGAGCTTAATATTTCCACTCCTGTCCAGAAGAATATTGGAAGGTTTGATATCTGCGAGAGAGAGAGAGACAGATGTCATTTCGTGTACAAGTGATCGATCAAATGAGCTACATTCTGAACTGCGTTAAACAAAAATACCAAAAAACCTTAGACAAGATTAAGTGATCAAATCCTTAAAATTCAGACGTGTAAGAAGATGAGGAAAAATGAGGAAACAGTGCTCTGACTGCCAATGTTTAAAAACTCAGTATCAAAAATACTTCCCCATAAATGCAGGCATTCTATAATGCTTTCTTCGTTTTCATCAAAAGACTGCTATACTGGGGCGCCTGGGAGGCTCAGTAGGTTAAGTATCTGCTTTCAGCTCAGGCCGTGATCTCAGGGTGCTGGGATCAAGCCCCATATCGGGCTCCCTGCTCAGCTGGGAGTCTGCTTCCCCTCTGCTCATGCTCTCTTTCTCTCACACAAATCAATCAATCAATCAATCAATCAATCAATCTTTAAAAAAAAAAGACTTAATATTCATTTACTTGCTTCAAATTCATTACCTACTGGTCAAATTATGAAGAATGAACTTAATCTATAAGAGTACACCAAGTTACTTTAGAGTATGTCAAAGACTATCCACCTAAATGCAAACTATACAAATTATACACCCACAATTTAGTTAAAATCGAGTTTTATCTAACTTAGGAAAGTATCCAATCCAGTACATCTAAAAGACCACAGCTTTGGGATCAGAGAAGCAAAGGTTCAAAATCTGGTCCAAAATTCACAGTGTAACCTGAGGCAAGCTACTCAACTTTGACTCAGCAACCACAATTTTGTCATCTACAAAATGAAAACGATTGCTAATTCATAGGACTCTGGAAATTAAAACACCTTTTACAGTACCTGAACTTTATTTGTATTCAATAAATGCATCCACTTAATAACTATTTCTCCTTGAGAGATTTTTTCTGACCTTCGAGGACTTCATCAGGTTTCCCCCAACCAACCTTTTCTTCCAGTCGTCCTTGAGATTCATTTTCACTCCCTCACTGACCATGAGCTCACCGCCACTATGTACTAATCCAACTGTCCGTCAATTCTCCCCCTTTGCTCATGAATTCTCCATCCCTGTCTCAATGCTTCTATACATTTCATTGTCACTGTCATGGCTCAATGAATAAAAAGGATACAAATAAATACAAGATACAAAAACATCTGTCTATAACTCAGAAGGGGATCTACAAAAAAATCCAGAAAAGGTCTCCTGCCATCACTGACCATGCTGACTGCCTATCAAGCACCATCCTACCCACCAACCCCATCCCTTCTAATGGGACCTGCATTTGATTTTATGGAGGGATCCCCTCCTCCACGTAGCCATAACCACACCTCCCCAAACCGAGGTGTGACTGGTCCAAGCCTATCAGGATCGCCTGATGCTCCCTGCCAGGAACCAGTTTAGGGTAAGGGCATGAAGCAATTTTGGTGAATGAGACAAGAGAAAACATTAGAGCGATGTAAGGAAGATGTCCCGGCTCCTAAGACAGCCACACAGGAAGAGGGAGCGCTTCTCCAGGAGGCTGTCATGTCTACATGTGACACTGGGGACTTGCTTTGGTCATTACCACCCTGAGGATGGAGCCAACGTATTAAGAAAGGTAGAACCAAAGGAAGGGTGCTTAAGCCCTAAACATACTGTGCCTGGAGCCACCCTATCCTTGGGCTTGTTAGGACAGATAGTGAATTTCCTTGAAGTTTAAGGCAGTTACCAGGATTTTTTGTAACTCGTGATCAAAAGCACTCTTAACTGTAGCAAAAAAGCTAACTGATCCTAATTAATAAAAAGACTGCTATATTGGGGCGTCTGGGTGGCTCAGTCGGTTAAGCGTCTGCTCAGCGGGGTGTCTGCTTGTCCCTCTCCCTCTGCCCCTTCCCCCATTTGTGCTCCCTCTCTCTCAAATAAATAAATAAAATCTTTTTTTAAAAAAGGCTGCTATAAATTCATCATTTTATTTATTAATAAGAAAACCAAAGTTATTTTTGAAGCTTTTCCATTTATTCAGTTACTCCTCAGTCACCATCTTAGTGCTTTCCTGTGATTGACAAGTATCTCCAAGGGAATTGTTAAATGCCCTAAGGGTAATACTACTCCCAAGTGCAAAATACAGTCAAAAAGGAAGGAAAAAATCCCAAAACAAGAATGCAATGAACTACAAGAAGAACAAAATAATTTTGTTTAGGGACCTAACTCTACATGATTTTAGGTCAAAAGAGAAAATGAGAAGCCTATCTAAAATTATTTTTAGCAAGCATTAAGCCAAAGCAAAATTAAGTGAAATATTCCGAAGTTCAAGGTTAACTAATTTCAGTGGTCTTGAGTTAACCCCAAACTAAAATTACTTAAATAAATGCACCAATTATTAATTTCTTTAACCACTAGAAACTATGTTTCCTAGAATGTAAGGCTTTTCACTTCTCTGAATACAACCTTTTACTTTTTGTTCTATTTATTGTCAGGCTGAATCCCACACTGTCGTGTACTGTCTTGGGTTTCTCCATTACAAATTTCCTGAGGAAAGTGAACTTATATGCCTCTTCAAAGCCACCATCCCACCACCCCAAGTCTAGCATAGTAATAAAAAGAGCAACTATTTAATCTATCTGCTGAATTAATTTCATGATTCCCACTGGCTTCCAATAAATCTACATCAAATTATATTTGGACCTGTGTCCAACAAGTCCAAGATCACTGTTCTCACAAATAGAAACACTTTAGAAGAATTTCAATGTACAATAATTAAAGCATCTCTATTTGCAAAAATATCCTCTATAGTAAAGAAGAAACACCTGAAAGGGACAGTAGCATGCCTTTAATATGCTCCAGGTACCATCCTCCAGATCCTTTGAATGTCCCCAGGACCACCTTTGGGCCCATTTGTATACACAGAGAAACATTATCTATCAAGTAAATGAATAGTTGTTTTTCAACTAAGAGTAAGAAGAACCTTGCAGCAAAATCTGTTTCAATTTCTAAGCTCAATATACTAATAAGTTAAGCTGAAATTTATAGAATCTCAAAGGAAAAAAAATACCCTAAATTAATAACAAAAGCTTTAGGGGAAAAAAATAATAATAGTTTTAGGGTAGGGTACATATAATATGCTTTGTTAAAAATACAAATATTTCATGGGCGCCTGGGTGGCTCAGTCATTAAGCATCTGCCTTCGGCTCAGGTCATGATCTCGGGGTCCTGGGATGAAGCCCCACAGCGGGCTCCCTGCTCAGCAGGAAGCCTGCTTCTCCCTCTCACACTTCCCCTACTTGTGGTCCCTCTCTTGCTGTCTCTGTCAAATAAATAAATAAAATCTTTAAAAATAAACAAAACAAAACACATATTTCAGGAAAGCTCATAAAGAGACACTGTAATTTTCAATAATGTTTTCCTATTAAGGAAAAATAATAATTTCTTTTTTTAAGGAAAAATATTAATTTCTAATCTATAAAAAAGAATTCATACCCACCTCTGTGAATGATTTTCAAGTTTTCTTTTAAGTGGTTTAGTGCTTTCACAGTCTGGGGAGAAAAAGCAAAGATGGGGTGAACAATCAGTATCCTTTTAGTCACACAGCATGCAGCTCATCATAGGTAACAGCTCTAGGAGCCCTTTGCATTCTTTTAAGCTTAATTATTCCAATATTCTGTCCACTTTTTATGTTAACTGAAGATGCTAAATGATTATTTTAGATCTGAAAACTTAGTTACTGTAACATGCTGTTCCCTGACAGCTAAAAAGAACCCAGTAACTTATAATTTTTTAATAAGTCATCACAAAGTTGTACATTTCTTGCAACTTCAAACTTTTCAAGAATGGAAATATTCAGTATGAGAGAGTCCACAGTCTGGTTCCACTATCAACTCTAATTTAAGTAAGTCTTTCCAAATTTCCTCGGTTTTTCGTAATTATTCATTCACTTTGCCCAGTGCTAGCCTTCAAAGTAATTTTGGCCAAGTCAAAGTATCTCTGCTCAACCACTATGGCAATTTATGCAGAATTTACAATATTGTTTGATCACTGCTTATGATCAGAAAATCAGGCATTTCTCCAGGAATACAGGGAACAGGGACTTGAATTAAAATTTCCCACAACCTCAAACTAAAAGGGAACTAAAGAACATGCCAACCACTTGCTATCAAATGGTCAAGTCTCTGCCCCATCAAGCTGCTGGGTGTCAGGAATGCAGAACTTGTCATGTTTCAAGTGGCTGGGCCTGTTGTGTTCACTGGGTTATTAATTAGCAAAAAGAGATTTAACACAAAGTAATTTTAAATGTTGTGCTTAATAGAAAGGATGATCACCAAGTCTAGAAACATAGGCAAATATATAACCAATGATTTATCTGTGTATCTATATTACACACACTGCAATATACAATAAAATAATTTTGTCTATGTTTTCCAACTTCACGATCATCCTGTGATCACAGTGGTTAGGAGCAGGATTCTGGGATCAGGCTGCTGGGCTTAAATCATTTACCACCTACAACTGTATAAAGCTCCAGATCTGTCATCTGTAAAAAGGGGGTTACACTATTCACCACAGAGAGTCACTATGAAGATAAAATGTCATAAGATCTTAGCCTGATGCAAATAAACACTCAATAACCATTAGCTACTCTCATTATTCTACTATTGTTGCATTATAATTATTATGAATAGTAAAAGTTCCAAGATAATATTGGGTCTGGTATACTGGAGAGAGAGAGATGACAAAAATGATCAATATAAAATGTCATATATCTTTCCAAATATAAACAAGTTCCTAGAATAACTCAGCTTCTTTTTATAAAATCATATGAAAGGGTATGTAACATTTAGCTCATAAAATATTTAAATTTATGCACCAATTTGGCTAAATAAATTAAAATATTAACATGAAACTTAAGATTATGACTTTAATCTGATTTTTAAAATTCCTGTTATACACACACACACACACACACACACCTTTCACAACTAAAATGCAGTTCAGAAACTGTCTATATATTTTTACATTAACTCTTAATGACCAAACAGGATCAACTGGCCATCAAAAGGCAGACTATACTGGAGGTGGAGGATGCAGGAAAGGAAGAGGCAGAAAATTACGTGCAACCAGAATATCTAACTTACAACTTCCTATAAAACTTAGTTTACACATCCACTAACCTACATCATGTCATTAGCTCAGATTCTTAGGGCTTTCTAAGAATCTAATTTTACTCCATTGAAAAGAATTTTGTGAACAACCTTTGTCAACGAAAAGATTCAGAGCAAGAAAGAAAATGATCAGGAATTCACTTTCAAAACTACAAACACACATGTAAAAGAGCACCTCTTTTCTTTTCGGTACTCTGGTAAAAGTGAATTGGCCAAATTGATAGCAATGCTGGTTACTGAAATTGCTAGTCAAAAATTTCAATATTTTAGAGCAGACAGCTCAAATCTTAAACACAGGAAAGATATTTTGTCTATGAGTTTCAATGAAGGGACTTCAAGGAGAATGCTGTGATTTTGATTAATTCAGAGATAATGGTGAGAATATAACCTATTTAAAAGTACAGTAACAGGGCTAAAAAGGAACAGAAAATTTCTTTTTCTGGTTTTGTTTACAGCACAATCTATTATGGTTCATTGTGATTTTAATGAACAAAATATTATAGTTTTTACATAAAACATATTTTGAAAATTGTTCTTATGACTTGTTGTATTAACTACCCCACAGAAGTGATTTTGTTTCTTTTCCTATTACAAATGATTTTCCAGGAAGGTCAACAGCATTCTGTGAAGGACATTCAGATAGGTGCATTCAAAACTCCAGCAGCATCTTTATGTAAGTATATACAGAATGAACAATTTGAAAACCAGGTACTTACTGCTAAAGTGATTTTGCCTAAAATTTCTTCTGGAATAACATCATCTAATACACTATATACATATTTGTAAAACTTATCAAACGAGGTAGACATGAGTTCCATACAGATCCAACAGTCACCCTATAAAATAACAAATATCTGTTATTCCTTTACATCTTAGTATTAAGTACCATGTTTTCCTTTACTTAAACTAGAAATACAATTAGAGAAAAAACAATCTTCTTCTTAATCTTGCACTGGAGGTAATTTTTGGTTCCTCATTAAAGCCCTGGGCAGAATAGTCTCCTCCTGTGTAAATATAAACTTATTTCCCAATTTCCCCACTCTTAACTGTAAAGACAGGGACAGTCTTACATAGAAACTTTTGTGCTTTTGTAAGAATATCAAATTTTGCCATAATTAAATACAAACATAAAAAATGTGGGAAACTGTTCATTGTCATTAACAAAGAAAGTAAATTACAATAATCTGGAGGTTCTATATAAATTTCTAAAATTAGTAAAAAAAAAAAAAAAAAGGAAGAAAAAATACACAGAGCAACCCCAATGCCTCCCATCCTCGTACAAATGCCACCTTCTCAGTGGCTGACATTTAAAATGCAGGCCATGCCAACTCTCAGCATGCCCTCCCCTGCTCTGTGCTGAAATCTTCTAATAGAAAATATAACTTATTTGTTATGTTTGTCATCCATCTCCCTTACCTAACCCACACACACTCTGCCAGCGCAGGGCCTCAGTAAACATTCCCTAGATGCATGAATGCTGGCTACAATTTAACTGAATCATCCAAACACTGTTGGCAGCATCATAGTGTGTTTTACACCAGGCAGAAGGCAATTTGACAATAAAACAAGAGAAAACAAAGTATTTATACCCTTTGATAGAGTCGTCTCATGACTGGAAATCTAATTAAACAAATAGTCCATAAACTCCAAAAAGAAAAAAACAAAAAAAACAAAAAACCCAGAAACAAAACTCAAAAGCACCGAACGATGTCCCAAGAGGGAATGGCGCACCATTCAAGGGCTTATCTAATCTTCCGTTCCTTGGAAAACTACATGGTTCGCGACAGGAATGCTCGAGAACGCACGGAATACGAGCAGACACCATGGTTCTTACGACCTGAGAGGATGTGAACACAGGGACAAGGGCCACGAAGGACCTTCTGAGCGTGAAAACAGCTATCAGGACGATGACAAAAATGGTCTCAAACGAGTTTGCGTGTTACTAATTTATGGATCCAGCTGTATCCTCGGAGATGTCGGACCACGTAGGAGATGAATGCCCACGAAAGGACAATGGCGTGCCCAGGACAACAACGCCAACCAGTGGCAGAGCCGTGAACACAGTCTGCTGACTGAGCTCCTGGCTCCCGTCAACACCTACAAAGCAGGGGCGCTGCCCTTACACACAGGAAGCGCAGGCTGCCCTGAACACGGAGACCGGGAACAGCGCTGTAACAACAGGACGGACACCTGCCAGCACAGGCATGTAGCTACACGGCTTCACACGACGCTTATGTGTAAAACGTATCTGGCACAGTCAACTTCTACTTCTGGTGTCTTCATTTAAGTCTTTCCTCCCTCTCTGTGGCTCTTTCCTTTGGGTGCTCTTGCAGATGGACGCTCACAAAAGACTTGAGTAACACCCCTCGCCCAAAACAAACACTTGAATTTATTTGACTCTAAAGACCCCATCTTAATAGATGCACTGGAATTTTTTTATTAGAGCAAAAGATAGCACATTTAACTCATCTCCTTAGAAAAACAATAAGGAAGGACCTTAATTTCAGTAGTATAACAAAGCAGAAAGACCACTGATATTAGGGTCTGAAAAGGCCTGACTCATTACCCAGGCTTTCCCACTTACGTAAGCTTGGGCCCCTCAGTCCCTCATCTCAGAAACAGGGTTGCCCTACCTTCCTCAACAGACTAGAACAAAAATCAAATGAGTTAACATACATAAAGTACAAAATAAAGTGTCCGGCCAGTGTGAAAAATGCCAGTTAAGAAAATGAGGGGAGAAGGGGGAAGGATGGAAAAACAGGAAGGCAGCCAAGGGAGAGAGACACAGAACAGGAGAAATAAAGGTAGGAAGTAAACTGGAACTTGGCGGGGGGAGGGGGGAACAAAGCAGCAATCAGCGCCAGAGAGATCTTTGTGGTTGATAAGGCACAGAACCTAATGTAACTCCTTATTTCTTCTGGCAGTTCCTTTTGACCATAACTGAGAATAGGTAACAGCAGCAGGGAGCTGCTTTAAGGGGGTAGGATGGTCTGAGCTGCCTCAAAAAGCAGGACAGCAACCTTACTTTCATGGTCAAGCACAAGACGGGACACCCACATGACTGAAATGCAAAAGCAGGAATTACTAAATATGGATTTACCGAAAAGAAAGGTGGAGGATGATGAAAAACTGAACCACTAAGATCAAGTGTTCCTAGAGACAAGAACCAGATAAAAACAAAGGCATGCTTATACACCAACAGTAAGCACTCAGAAAATAAACTGTTTAAAAAGACACCACACACAATACAAAGGAAAACTGTAAAGCACCTAGGAATGTATCTAACAAAAGCAGCAAAACGTTTATGAGAACGTATGGTAGATGTGACTAAAGACATAACAAGTGACCAAAGAGAGAGGCAGAGCATGCTGACGAGTGTGAAGACTCAAGATCATAAAAATGTCAGATTCCCCTTAATTAGCTTAAGAACTCAAGTAGATTCTAATAAAAATTATCATGCACCTGGACAACCTGATCCTAAAACTTACAGCAAAGTAGAGCTGGGGCACCTGGGTGGCTTAGTCAGTTGAGCATCCGACTCTTGATTTTGGCTCAGGTCATGATCTCAGGGTCCTGGGATAGAGCCCTGCATCAGGCTGCATGCTCAGTGCGGAATCTGCTTGGTATTCTCTCTCTCCCTCTCCCTCTGCCCCACCCCACAATCATGCGCATGCACTCTCTCTCAAATAAATTTATTAAATATTTTTTAAAAAGAAAAAGTAGAGCCAAGAATAGCCAAGACAACTTTAAAGAAGGGAGGCTAGTTTACTAGACAAAGTCTTTTTAAAAAGCTATCATAATAAAAGGCAGTGGAATGATACAGAGGGGGAAGTAAAAATACAATAGAACAGATTCAAAAGCTCATGCGCACATGGAAACTGGAAGGATGACAGATGTAGCAAAGCAGACAGTTGCAAAAGCATGGAATATGTAATGAATGTTGCTGGAACCAGTGGCCTTCCAGACAGAAAAGAGTTAAATTAGGTCATTACCTCAGATCATTCACAAATAAAAATACAAAAAAAATCCCAAATGGACTTTTTGAAAAGCAAAAGTTTAAAACATTTTTATAAGAGTTCTTCAGGACTTCAGGTAGGAGACAAATTTCTTCTACAAATCACACATGAAAAGAATACATCACAAAGGATAAGACCTGCTAAATTGAACTCCATTAAAATGGATATTTCTGAATGACAAAGGACACCATACCAAAAGTTCAAAAATAAGACAAAAGCATCTATTTGGATATAAACAAAGAATTAGTACCCTGAATACTAAAGCACTATGCTAAATTAATTAGGCAAAGACAAAACTTAACAGAATAATGGCAAAGGGATATCCATTCCATAGGCAATTCACAGAAAAGAAGACCTGAACACACATGTAAAAAATTCTGTACCTTGCCAGTAATTAGGGAAATGTCATTTTAAAAGTAAGATACAACTTCAAACTTACCTGACTGCCAAAAATGAAACATTTAATAATCCCAAATGTTAGCGATAAGATCTGTGTCAATAAACGTTTATGGCTTGCCCAACAACCACCCCCTCTTTGTTATATACAACGTGCCCATCTGAAAATACATGTCCCAGCCTCCTGTGTAGAGAAGGGTAGCCAACAAGACAACACAATTGGCTGATGATTCCAGAACAGACTTTTTGGTTCTTCCCTCTTCTCTTCCTCTGTGTGGACATTGCAGTTGAACTCTACGAGCCAACTTGGACCACAGGACAACCTTAACGATGTAAACCACAAACTCAGTAAACCACTAACAGCTTTCAGTACTGACACCTGAATACAATTCCTGGTATGGAAATCCTCATTTTTATTGGTAGGAACAGAAGTTAGTACAACTACTGTGAAGAGGAAATTGACAATATAAAGTTGAAAACAATTCATATCATTTAACCTAGCAATTGCATTTCCAGGTATAGGCTATACAGAATCTGTAACCTACGCTGCCAAGGAGAAATGCAAAAGGAGGTCATTTTTACATTTTATAACTGCAAAAAATTAGAAACAACCTATATTAGTATTATTAAAGAAACATTAAAAAAGATATATTTAATTACAGAATACTACAAAGCAGTTAAGATAAATTAACCAAATCAGGGGCGCCTGGCCAGCTCACTTGGTAGAGCAAACAACTCTTGATCTCCAGGTCATGTGTGTGTTCACTGGGCATACAGCCTACTTTAAAAAATCAATAAATAAAATAAAATAAAATAAAATAATAAATTAACCAAACCTATATACTAAAGATCTATATTTATATGGATGAATCTTGAAATTTCTGCTGAATAAAAAATGCTATGGGGGACACATACAGGATAATTTCATTTATGTAAACTTTAAGAATATAGAAAGCAATACTATGCATGACTTAGGGAAAGATACATATATGGAAAGCCTAAATGAAGAAGTTGAAGGAAATATTAACTTCAAGGTAGTGTTTAGATCTGTAAAGTGAAAGGGGGATTAGGACGAGGTCTTCCACTATATAACTTAAAGACAGATAAAGAGTAAATATGCCAAAGTGCTCATCTGAGGTGTTGGGTACACTCTGATTCCCCTAGAAGTTTCTGTATGTTTGAAATACTTCACAATTTAAAAAAAGCAAGAGCTACCTTAAGAAACTAGAAAAAGATGAGCAAATTAAACCAAAAGATGCAGGAAACAGGAAGAGTGATCAGAATGAAAAAATTTTTTAACAGAAAAACAATATAGAAAAGTAATACAACTGAAAGCTGGCTCACTGAAAGACTGATAAAAAACTGATAAATCTCTAGCCAGATCCATCAGGAAAAAATAGAAAAGATGCAAATTACCCATTAAA